TGAAATTGAGTAACTGCTCTAGATTTGTGATTGTAAATTCAAATCTCGCTGCATTTATACAAGGATTTGAAGCACATAAGAGCATTTAAGGTTTTTATATAGGTATGTGTTCAATGTGTAAGAATTACTGAAGTATTGTGTAAAGATTTTTTTTTCAGACACAGTCTCACTCTGTTGGGTAGAGTGCCATAGCTTCATAGCTCACAGCAACCTCAAACTCCTAAACTCAAATGATCCTCTTGCTTCAGCCTCCCCAGTAGCTGGGACTGCAGGTGCCCATTAAAATGCCCCACTAGTTTTTCTTCTATTTTTAGTAGAGACAGGGTCTTGCTCTTCCTCACCCTTGTCTCAAACTCCTGAGCTCAGGCAATCTACCCACCTCAGCCTCCCAGAGTACTAGGATGACAGGTGTGAGCCACTACAACAGGCCTATTCCTGTAAAGATTTTTTTCTTTTTATTTTTTTGAGACAGAGTCTCATTATGTCACCCTCGGTAGAGTGCTGTGGCGTCACAGCTCACGGCAACCTCAAACTTGTGGGCTTAAGTGATTCTCTTACCTCAGCCTCTCAGGTAGCTGGGACTACAGGAGCCCGCCACAATGTGCAGCTATTTTTTTGTTGCAGTTGTCATTGTTGTTTAGCTGGCCTGGGCTAGGTTTGAATCTTCCAGCCTGGGTGTTCCAGGCCAGCACCCTACCCACTGAGCTGTGGGCACCGCCCCTCTGCAAAGTTTTAAATCTGACAATTGGAGCACATGGACAAAGAAAAAATAAAGGATTAAATGTATAACTGCAATTTAAAACATCTAAGGTACTTAACAGTTTAAGTAGGAACTAGGATTCTGAATCTCATAAATTGAACACTTTATTTGATTTTATCTGAAGTAAACTGTTTCTGGCACACAAAAATCCCCTCCAAGGCATAAACTAAACTTCTATTTAACAACTAGAAGAGAAGGAAGTTCCAAAGAGAAGGGGAAGAGAAATGTGGCTCAGCTTTCAATAAATGCCAGTCCTTTGAGGAACAAAAAAAGCTATAGTCTTGGAAAAGCATCAGAAAATGGAGTTCTTGGGCCCCTTCCTTCCCTCCAGGGAGCACAGCCTTCCCCTCCTGAAACAAGTCTCTCACTTGCCCCAGTCAGCCTGTAGCTCCTAACAAGCATGAACAAAGGAACAGAAAGGACATAGAGGAAAGGGAGGAAGAGGAGACGGGAGCACAAAGCACTTTCCTAAGAAGGCAGCCCCCGATCCTAACAAAGATTCTTTACATATAGACACGATAGCCAAAGGAAGGGGAAGATAAGGGGGCACCGAGGAAGAAACAGGAGGGTGGGGGAGGGGTGGGGGGGAGGAAGAAGGAAGCAGGGCTGAGATTTGTTTAAACCTGCACTGTCCTGCAGTGCCACATGTGACCCGTCTGAACTAAGATGCTGGAAATGTAAAATACACATCATAATTCAATTTAGTATTAAAAAAAAATACATTATCCCATTAATACATTTTCTATTAATTATTACATGTTGACATGGTAATGATTAAATAAATTATGCAATTAAGGTTAATTTCACCTCTTTCTTTTTACTTCTCTGAATACAGCTACTAGGAAATGGCAAAGGACACACGTGGCTCACATTTGCAGTTTGCATTTCTATTGGATAGCGCCGGTTTAAACAGTCCCCCCACAAGGCCATCAGATAGTGCATCATCCCGGGACAGGGATGGGGGGTGTTGGGGGATGGGGGTGGTGGTGAGTGAGTGGCATACATGGAAATGGAGGTGGAAGGAAAAGACAGGGAGGCAGTGTTCAGCAGTTGGTTCCAGTTTCAGGGTGGATGTGATCAGGAAGTAACTCCCGGACAGACAATGGGCAGACCCCCAACGTAATTGGAAAGGCATCCTTGATTCAGATTGTCAATCCGGCTACATCCTGATTGAATCCTGGAACCTCAGGCAGGAAGAGTGCTTAGAAACTCATTCAACGCCACTCCCCCACACTCCTCTATATAGCTGAGGAAACCAAAACTCAGGGAAGAAAATTAAATAGCTGAGAAAGGGTCACAGAGCTTCCCTCAAAAACCTCATATTTCATATTTGCAAATGCCTAAAATTCTGATCTTCTACATGGCTGCCAGGCTTGACCTTGGTATGCATAACACTTAAGGGTGAAAAGTGTGAACATAAGGAAAAAATGCAACTCGATGGGTGGTTCTTACTCAGGGGTGATTGATTTTGACACCTAGGAGGAGGCATTTGGCAATATGGAGACATTTTTGATTGTTAAATTTGCAGAGAAGGGGCAACTACTGGTGTCTAGCAGGTGGAGGCCAGGGATGCCGCTAAACATTCTACAACACACAGATACCTACACACACAACAAAAACTATGCAGCCTAAAATGTCAACAGTGCCAAGGTTGAGAAACCTCGCTATAGACAAAATCACAGCAATGCTATTTGTTCCATAAGTGACCCTATTTCAAGAGAAAAGGGCATTGTCTGAGCTCACTCTCCTGTAATCCAAGCTCTCCTGTTCACACCCACAGAAAAGTGAGATAATCATCCTAAAATACTCTGATAGAAATTTTGAAAGCCTCTGTGAAAATGCAAAGTGTTCCTGAAATCCTTCTCTAAAATGGCTTTAAGGATAGGCATGGTGGCTTACACATAGTCCTAGCACTTTGGGAGGCTAAAATGGGATGATTGCTTGAGGCCAGGAGTTTGAAACCAGTGAGAACAAGAGTGAGACCCCCATCTCTAAAAAGAATTAGGAAAGAAATTAGCTGACACAGTGGTATACCCTTGTAGTTCCAGCTACTCAATAGGCTGAGGCAGGAGGATCACTTGAGCCTAGGAGTTGGGGTTACAGTGAGTTATGTTGAGGCCATTGTACTCTAGCCTGGGCAACAGGGTGAAACTGTTTCAAAAAAATTTTTTTGTAATTACATTTTAAATAAATAAAATGCTTTTGAGCACAATGGGCTCTGATCTCGAAGAACTGAGTCCAGATATGTGCTAAGAGCTTGTGAGAAACAAAGCTCTTGGGGCTGAGGCCTGGCTTCAGAAATCAAGGTATGTGGCTGGCAGGGGCCTTAGAGGTTTCTTATTCCAACTCAGAGAACAAGCTGAGGTCCAGAAAAAAGTCATGAATTTACACAGAAAGTTCTAGGATATTAATTTCTAATGTCAATTAACTGAACATTGAGCTACCTTTTTCAGGGACCTTTAACAGGACCCAGATCCAAGGACTGACGTCTTTTCTAAATCCACCCACATTTCCCAAAAGAGACATTATCCTGACTGAAGTTGTCTATTTCCACCTTGTGGCTTTTGAAAGCTACTAGTTATAGCATATAGGTATCAGTCTGATCCTTTATAAAAACATTTTGCTCTGCACATCTCTCAATGTCTATCTGCTGAGGTCTTTCCTCCAGAATGTCTCAGTATTTGAGGTTGGAGGACTTTTGCTGACCAAGTGTTTCCCTGTCTGCATTCTACTTCTAAGGAATGAGATAGGAGGTGGTTAGGCCTAATTCTGCATCTGATTTCAGGAGGAAAACCCAGACTCTGTCCTGGGCAGAATCCTGAACTTGAGGGCACAGGGCAAATGTGAGGAGTGAGGGTGGCAAGAGTGAAAGAGAGACCTGTGGACATTCTATAGAGGGCAATTCCTCGAAGGTCAGGGTCCAGAGAGAGTGGAGGGCAGAGAGCACGGGGACCTAGCGCCAAGGGCAATAACCCCAGAAGAGGCCAGAAAGTGGGAAGATCGGTAACAGGAGGTGGGGACATTCCTGGGGCTAGACCTAACGGATCAGGTAGAGGTGTCAGCAGAGAGGCCCCTGGAGGAGACGGGGTAGGCGAGGTCAGACAGGCGGGAGCAGAGACTTATTTGCAGGTGAGGCTGTCGGGGAAGTCTCCTGGGGGAAAGAAAAGGGTGTCAAGAGGCTCCTGGAGGCGGCGCAGGTCCAGGGCACTACCTCACCTGGGGCCCAGCCGCCGAGCTCTCTGCCGCCACCTCTGCCCGCGCTGCCCGGGCACAGCTCGCCAGTACCACGAATTCAGATGGGTCGCCGGGAGCAGCCCCCAGCAGGGCCGCCTTCACAGACGTGGTGCCCAGATCAATGCCAAGAGTGACGGAGCGCGAAGCCATGACCTCGGTGACCCGCGCAGCACAATCTGCAGCCCGAGGCGTCCCAACCCGCACACTTCACCCGGGAGGGAGGTGCCGGGGTAGGGCCCCGCCTGCCAATCTTTCAGCCACACCCAACATGGCGATTTCTCGCCTTGCTATTGGCCGAGGAAGGCAGACCCCCCACGCGCCCCTCGTGGCGGGCCCTGGCTATAGGCGGAGAGGCGGCGAAAGGCGGGCGCTAGAGGGCCCCACCCGGCAGAGTTGCCATTCCCGCACAAAGGAGCGTGGCTGACTCTGGCTCACTAAAGAAGTGAAGGGATTCGCCGAGAGGCACCGGAGATTCCTAGAGCCTCGTTTTCCCTAGAAATGGCTTAATCCTCCCTCATGCCAGAGCCCCCATCCCTCCCCGGGTGCCTGCACCCCTCTGCCCCGCCCAACCGGTCCGACTGAGGCTCCCACTACAACTCCCAGAGAGCACCGCGCGGAGTGTCCGCTCGGCAAGTCAGGTGGCTGAGGTCAGGTGACAGCGGGCCCGCCCTCCTCAAAGTCTAGCAGTCCTGGAGAATTTGCGCCGTCTCGAGCGGCAGCTGAAGCTTGTTCTCTACGTCCCGTGTGGTCAATCCTCCAAACCTGGGACGCTCAAGGTGAGAGGCGGAGCCCTTGAGGTCCCGAGACTAGAACAGCACGTCAGTGGAGCGACCAATCGCGGATTCAGCCCCCCTGCAGCCGCACTTCATTCCACCCCTTGGCACCAGTCCTGACCTCGCGACACCGGACAGCCCCCCAGGTTAAAGGACACGGGTGGTGGTGAGCGGCAGCAGGGACACCGCGCAGCCGGGGTGATGTGGGTGTCTTTACCCCAGTGCAGTTCCGAGCCTCTCCCCTGCCTCCTGCTTATTTGCCACCTGAATCTGGGTTGGAGAAAGAAGCAAGACGCGAGGACCTGTGGCAGGACCTCCTGTGGAGGTGCCCTGTGCTGGCCTCCTGGGGACAGGGCAGACTGGGGCCTCGCTCGGCCTTCTGGGGTTTTCAAACTGGAGGACGGTAGGATACGTGGGCCCTGCCTTTTTAAACCACATTGAGGAAAATAACATGCTTTGTGAAACTTGGGAGGTGCCCTAGGCAACAGAAATAATTACTTTACATTATAGTTTCTCATCCTTTTCATCCTTATCAGCCCCCTCCTTGAAACTTTAAAACACCAGTAAATTCTATATTTGTTTAAACACCGTGGGACCTTTTCAGGGCCAACAGACCTTTGTAATATCTAAGATTTTTTTTCACTCCTACCTAAGAGCCATTTTTAGTCCCAGTTGACATTATAAATCTCATTTCATGTAATTCCTGTGAGGTAATTACAACCTTCCTGGTTTTCTCATTAGGAAATTATAGCTTGAGGAGGCTAAGTAGCACCACAGGGTCACATAACTAATAAATGGGGGAGCCCAGGTTCAAACCCATGCAGTTTGTCTACAGGCACAGTTTGTCTCAGTGTTACTTATACCTTTAGATACCTGGCAGGGAGGAGCTGCTACGGCAGACCTCTGGCCCCAGTTACTCCTAGGAAGGGATTAAAGAAGTGAGAGAGGATTCTTGAAATGCATGATGTCTGAATGAGGCCTGGATGATAGAATTTACACAGGAAGAAGGGCATGCCAGACAGGGCCCATTGTTGGAAATGTTTCATTTCTATCTTGTAGCTTTCGTAAGGCACTAGTTGTGTATAATTATCAATCTAATTTTTTTTTTTTTTTAGCATTTTAACTGATTTATCTCTCAATGTCTCTCTGTCTCTCTGATCATCTTTCTTCCAGGTATCTCAGCTGTTGAGCCTGAAGAACTTAATGCTGACTGAGTGTTTGAATTTCTCAATCCGCATTCCATTTACATGAAATGAGAGAGAAGCTGGTTAGGCCTGGTTCTGCAATTCGTTTCTGGAAAAAAACCCAGACTCTGCCCTGGGCAACCAACTGAATCCTGAACTTAAGAACACAGGTCAGATGTGAGGAGCAGAGAATGGCCAGAGTGAGAGGGAGGCCTGTGGTCATTCCATATATGCAAGAGGGCAATTCCTCGAAGGTCTGGGTACAGAGAGTGGAGGGAAGAGAACACAGAGATCTGGTGACCAGGGCAGCCCTTAGGGGAGTCCAGAGAGTGTGGAGACCTGAGGGATCAGGCAGAGAGGCCCCTGGAGGCGACAGGGCAAGTGGAGGTCAGACAGTTGCAGCAGTCAGGAAGACTTCTTTTGTTTGTTTATTCATTAATTTGTTGTTTTACTGGTTATATGATCCTAAGGGCAACTTCTTGAGGAGGGTGGAGGTGTCAAGAGGCTCCTGGAAGCCGTGGGGAAACCGAAACCAGAGTGGGAGCAGGAATATTTCCACACAGACCTCATCTAGTTCTCCCCCACTTTTTGTAGGAACCCCCAGAGGCTGTCAGGGTTGGGAAGGCCTGAACACTGTACACCACGGCAGCATGTAGGAACCAAATTCCAGAAATCTGTTCTGACCTGCCCCTCCTGACCCAAGCTTTAGCTGCTGTGTGTTGGTGTTATGGGAATGCAGCACCCTGTCTCCCACATTAAACCAACGAACTGTTCCAAGACTCTGGGGCTCATCCCTCCTTGAGTCCTCATTGTGAATGATCCTAGCCAGTCCTAGAAAGGAAACACTTGTCAAATGAAAAAGTCTTCATCATGGGTCAGCTAACAAGTATCCTTAGCCCTTGGACTCTTATCCCAGGACAGGAAATGAAATTGATTTCCTTAAGGTTTATAGACTAGTGATTCATCTGACTTTAGTAACTTTTTGGATAAAAAGAACCTCAGCCCAGTAAAACTACATTCTTTCTTTCTGTTAACTGAGTTGCAAAAAGCAACTGGGAGGGAGAAATTTGGGTCTTTGTTCACTTCCTCAGGGTGGGACTTTACACAACCTACTTGGCTGCTCTGAGACTATCTCCCCATATATCAAAGATAAGTCCCCTGAAGTCTCCTCTGAGGTTGTGATGCAAAGCCTGTGAGGTCAGCAGTATGAAGTACAAGTCCTTTATGAGCTGTCCCATACCCTGGTTGCAGATGGCATGTTGTCCACCTGGAGCTGAGATAATTCAATGTTAATGTGAACTTCTCTTGCTGTTTGTTTTTCTTCCTAGTTCTGAGAAATTGGGGAACATGATAAGGAACTGGCTGATTATTTTAATCCTTTTCCCCCTGAAGCTCATAGAGAAATGTGGTAAGTTTAAAAAGTCATCAGCTTTGTAAAAAGGGAAATGATGGCCTGACCTGTTTGTTGCCAGGAGCTTAGTATTGTCCAGATTTTGTGTTGGACTGCCCCTCAGCCAAGTGATGGAGCAGCCCCAGGTCTGGGGTCCAGCAGTTTTACAAAGGGCCACATGGCTCTACAAATAATTGATCTTCCACCCTGGGTTCCCCATTACCTTTTCTGTATCACCAAAGTCAACAGTTGGTTCTTAAAGTCAGACTATATAACTGGCTCTCTAAGTAAAACTTAGAGCCCCAACAATCTCAGATGATACCTTTAAAAATGGCTTATGCCATTTCCCCATGGGCCTCGAGAGATGAGGTGCTACCATGTTGTACCTGGTTCCACCAAGCACAGACATCTGAAGAGTCTGTCCAGCATCTTCTTATAAGAAAACCTTTCCCTTAAGGTTCAGCACCTGTAGCACAGTGGTTATGGCTCCAGCCACATACACCAGAGCTAGCGGGTTTGAATCTAGCCTGGGCCAGCTAAACAACAATAGCAACAACAACTAAA